TGAATAGTCTTATGTGTAATATCTCTAAAAGATAGCAAATAACCATCTATGACTTCTACATGTACATGTTTAGTTTTTTTGACTAATAATATTTCTTATTTTTTGACAAAATTTTCATCTATAAAAATAGGTTGAGGCTCTTAAATCTAACAAAGCTAAGACTTTGTAATTTTTTGGTCCTAAATAAACTTATATTATCAAATAAGGTGAGGGATCTGACAAAAAAATATGATCTTTACTAGGAATTATACAAGTTTTTAGTCGCATGGTCTATATTGTAGTTAAAGAAACTCATTTTTTGATACCTTATCTTCTTTGGCAACCATGCTTCTCATTTTGTGATTGCATTATTTCTTTAGATAATATTGAACAGTATGTTTAGCTTCTCCACAATATAAGTATAAGTCCTTTTGATGTCGTCAACTCTTTTCTTGCTCTATGAAGGATTTAAAACGTACCATATTAATTTGTATTGGTTTTGGCCTTGATGAATAAGTTTTTGAAAACTTAACAGTTATTGTCATTATTTGATTTGTTCCTTTCTAACCAAATCTTTGTTCTTGATATCTTTCAAATGATCGATTGTTATATGCAATAGTTTGAGCAATAAATTATTCCAAAGATTTTGCCTTGACATTATCAGTAACAAGTCTTTGATATTATCTTTCAACAGATATCAAAATTGATTAATAAGGGCTTGGTCCACATCGCAAGTAAGGTTTTAGAATTCAGCAACATATATGATAGTTGACCATAATCCTTGCCATAAAAATAAGAGCTTGATCTCTGCTACTCTTTCTTAATCATTTTCTTCAAATGTGTCCATAAACACTTTTAAGAATGAATTCAGATTATAAAGGAATTGTAATTTTTTTTCTACCAAAGGTACAAAGCAAAAAAGAGCACTTCTTGATAGAAGTGTGCCTATGAATCCGACTTGAGTAAATCCATTGAGGTATTGGAAAAGATACAACTTTAGATAGAGTTTGATTTATTACAAAAACCTTAGATAGAACTTGATCTTGTTCCATGAAACTTCTCAAGCATGCTAATCCTTGTCTTTGTCATACTAATAGAGCCAAAGTCCATAGATTTGATTGTAAGGTCGATCTACTTGCTTCTTTCAATTGCACAACTTCTTGCTGCAGACTTTGAACTTCTTTCATAGACGTAGGCATAGTACCTCCATGATTCATGTTAAAAATGCATGAGATTTCTACTCTTAGAGTGTTAATAAGCTCATGAAGATTTGTAATAGTTGCAAATCTATTCTCACTTCCTCTGAGAGTAGCAACTATAATCTTTCCTTCCATAGATAACTCAAATAAATTTAAAAAGTCAAATTAGAAGAGGATAATCCGCAACCTCTAATAAAAATTTCTACAAAGAGGGATAATTCACTCATTTTAAAGAAAAGATCACTGTTAGAAAATAAGGTTTTTTTTTTTCAAGGTGGATAGTCCGCAACCTTCAAAACACAACAATAGAAGTAGGGTAATTCACTCACTTCTAAAAAAGACAAAAATATTAGATTAACACCCTTGTCAAACTGTCTAGGACATGAATCTCAAAGAAAGAAGATCTTCAATATATTATTGTGTCATTGAAAGGAACTAGAAAGTCATTCAAAGATGATATAATATTAAACTAAAATGGCTATTGTCAAAAACAAAAAGAGTAGAAAGTCTTGAAACAAGACTAAGGACTAGAAAGGCATTGACAAGAGTGAAGAAGACTTCACTCTTGCCTCCATATATATATTCTTAACTAGGAGCTATGTAGTGATCTCCTACAAGACCTCAAAAACGTATTGACTTTGCAAGACACGTATCTTAACTTGTAAGGTAAGTTTTTTGTATGTGCGCCATATAGTTAGCTTATTCTACAAGCTACCAATACATAGTTAACTTGTTGACCAAATTTTTAACCTATCAATCCACTACAAACACATGTAAAGTCAGAGTAACATCTATGAAGCTTCTACGAAGCTTCTCTAAAAGATCTTATGAAATTAATCTACTTTTATCTTCTTTTATCTACTCCTACCTAATCATATAGGTATTTATTAGAGTACCTATATATATCCATGACACAATATTATAATTTTGTGTAGATAAAATAGACTTATCAATAAAATATTTATCTCCAATTATTCCATCCTCATTTAGTCCTAAATATACAACTTGAATCAAATCATTTAATGTCAGATATACTTTCATACATTTTGAAAGAACTATAATAACTAACAATGGATCTATAATTATTGATTTTTTTCTAATCTAAAAATAGAAACCATTTTTAGATATATTAAATATAAATATTATATTATAAAAAAATCTAAAATATAAAAATCTTATTTAATATATATATATATATATATATTTAGGAGCATTTTAGCAAATAATTTATTTTTTTCAAATATACCTTTCAAACACATATTTTTTGTCAAAATATATACTTTAATATGAGACTGATTCTTTAATTATTGCAAAGATGCATCAATAAACTTCTACTTTAGTTGATGGACAATGGTACTTGATGAAGATTTTTATAAAACATAATAGAACAAGCATTTTCAAAGACTCACAATGTAAAAATCTACATTGTTATCAATGCAATTAAATTATATTTTAGCATTATAATGGCATCATGTGAAATGCATATACTTCTTTCTAGGAAGTAATAATAAAAATGGATGCCAAATGAAAGCACTCCTCAAAGTAGCTTAAATAAAAATAAAATATTGATTTCTACTTTTTTCAAGTCAATCATAGAATCATAAAATGCTTATTGAAAAATGCTTATTTGTCTCTTTATTTTATATCCAAATTATATCAATGTCACTATTCAAATTTTAAAAACAGATGAAATAAAAATTTTAAAAAAATCAAGAAAATCCATAGATCATTATTAAGTCACTAAAAATCATGACAGAACTTAAGACTGAGAGCAAATAATAATAATAATGGTTTAATATTTGTTTTAAAAAATAGATACATATCAAATTCGTTAAGATTATTTAAGTTTGAGGAAAATGATCACTTCAGGAAAAAGAAAAAAAAAATCATACTGCTTGGATCTTAGAATCGCAATTATGCGCACATATTTGTGATCAAAGAAGACCACTCTGACAACTCGTTTACAAGCAACTATGAAAGTCTTTAGGATCTGTTGTCTAATTAGTTACGCTGATGCCCCCTCACGGATTCATGGGTCTAATGAGAACTAGCTATGTACCACGTCAAATCTATCCATCGTTACCATCTTGCTTAAATTATATAAGAACAGACATGACTTCAAAGTAGTACGCTATGGAAAATAATATAGAAGTGAGAGAGTAGAAGCACCTTGTACTTTCTCGATGTGGGAGCGCTTCTGGATGCCCAAATCCTACTCGTTACAATTGAATGTGGCCCCTTGATAGCGGAGAATATATTATATGTCTCTCCACTCTTCTTATCCAGGATGTCATTTTTCACATGCAGCAACTCCTCTCAGATCCACAAAGAAAACATGCAACAAAAGGTGATTTGTAAGGAAATGCTTCGGTTGTGTAGAATTTCACAGTGAGTTTCAGGAAGCTTCAACTTGTGCCAAGTTGTTTTACCATCACATTGGAAATCATTAACTACAGACCTCAAACAGGGGGATGGAAAAAAAATTCTAGTACCTGTGTAAGAGAGAATTAGGTCTCTGATAGCGGTTTTGGTGCGCGGATGACTGGCAGAAATATGCCGCAGGGTCGATTTTTCACTTTCACTCTTTACCGACAGCTGTTGGCTCGTTTTTCGAAGGCGACTGGGTCTCCTTCCACCTCTCTGCCCAACCTCTATCCCATGTGCGCACACATGAAGCCATGACCTTCATAAATTTGTAGTGATTTTGTCATTTTAGCGAAACAACGACCAAGCTTATTTCGCTGAAGGTAACTTTTGGACAATCTGCTGCACCTGCAGTGTACAAAAGTAAGTTTCATAAGATATGTTTCATTAACGAATTGTCTTTCATGAAATTACTCAACACAATTGTAGCTCCACGTGAGGGCACGAAAGACACCGAAAATGAGTTTTCCTTAGACTTGGTTGCTAAGCGATTGAGTTCATTTCCATCATAACAGAGATCCGTCAGTATAAGAGTTCCTGCACTGTTGACTGCCTTTCGCATTCATTGGTCATTACATGTAGCTTCCATGTTTTCATGGAGCAGCACAGGAGGCACACTGTTTCCTCTCATGACTGTCATCTACATTCTAGGAGCAGTGGAATCTACATTCGTGTAGAAAATCATTTGGCATGTTATGTGTGAATCACAATTTGGAGCCAGCTATTTAACAGCACAAACGTTCACGTGTTCATGGTTTATCTCAAGTTCTTTGATTCGCACACGGAAGTGATCATTGGAAGTTCATTTTGGTTCAATCACCCAACCATCATGAGTGCTGGTAGGGATTCACACTGGTACAGCAATTCATCATCACATTGAGTTGACGTAATACTGCAGTGAGAACGGAATAGTTAGCGACGAGCATGACTTGTATGCAGTTTCAACTCAGTGATGCTCATGCAATTTTTGAAGCTAAAGATCGTGTGGTTCTGGACTGACAATAAACTCATGTTTGTCCATCATGAGGATGATAAATACCGTTTTGAGTTCTAATAATCCCATATCCAATAATGATGTTGGAGTGTTTGTGAAGGAGTACTGAAGTGGACGACCGATAAGCTGATTCGCTGAAAGACTGGGTAGCACGTCGGCAATACTCTGATGCTCTACAAATATTCAGAATGCACAGAGGCTAAAACTGGGCAAGTAACACTACGGAAACTTGGCAACAGAAAGATGTACAAGTTACACAGACGCATGTTTCTTCCCACTTTGGAACTGTAATTGAGCGCGAAATGGTTATGCCCAACAACGTAGCTTTATCCAAACTGTTACGGCGTTACGAGTAGGAAGGAGCAAACATCAAGATAAAGCAGTGAATACTTCAGAACTTGATCTTAAATTAGCGAAACAAAGTTGTAGATATTGAATGATAGAACTTCGTTAACGCTTCATTGGCTTAAGATTCATTAACCAATACCAACAAGAAGCACGAAAGCCACAAGTGAGGCATTCCGCTAAAAGGGAATATACTTGGAATGAACTGACTGGCAATGGTGCGTCCCGACAGTATCAGCGCTGTCACTTCAGAGTTGTAATCGAGGAATCCAGTTGCATGTAAATAACCGGACTCGTGACCTAGAAAGCTCCACGTGCACTTTATGGCGTAAATTGGTAAACAGCTACAATTGAACCCCGAAGCCAGGCTTTAAAAACACAGCAAGCTTGTGTAAAAGTTTCCAGGATTCAACCTATCTTTCTTAAAGTGCTTCAATTGTTACATTCCAGTCACTGGAGAGGAGATTTATCAACGGTCAATCAAACTTCACGAAGATCGGGGTTCTTCAAAACAACAATCTCTTTCTTCGTCCAGATTTCGAGGGAACATCGTCAATGGCTTGAGCTTGAGGATATACTTTTGTAAACAGACCTCTTTGACAGGTGGAAATGACATAATCGGGTGCGCGAACACCATCGAACACGGTTGTTTCCGATAAGAACTAGGCTCTTTCTCCAGTCATAAGTTCCTTGCCCAGACCCCCGAAGCACGAGACCTATTTCTTATTCGCCGCTCATCTTCACCTGTGCAAACACATATACCAATATATCAGGAAAGGTGATTTCTGTAACGTAAGAGTGACGGCTTCAGGTCTGAACCAATGCAATTGTATTGGCAGAGATATCCGTAAATAAGTAGGTGTTTCTAAATTTGAGCCCAACCAACCATAGAACCTCGACACATTGGAGGAGAATCGCTTTCAACCAAATCGAACAACAGCCTACTTCTGGATGATGAAACAAGATCTTGTTCGGCGCTACACAAAATGCATCTACAGAACAACAGTGAAAGAGTAAAGAAACAAAAATAGCAGTGCAGCTACGTCTTCGACCTTCAGAACCTATCCCACAACGACCCAGTCTCCGATTCAAAATATTTCAGCAAAAATATACCAGCCTACCATTAGCCGAAAGGGAACAGGGGTAGGTACACCACCTAGCTCGGTCTCAAAACCACATCGTCAAGGAGGAGAGGAATTGCAGGCCCCTTGTCATAAAGCAGCGCTAAAAATTTATTTCCCCTCCAAAGTCAGCCACATCTGCAGGATTGAGTTCCACACACCCTCGCTGTGTTTTTTCTATGCCTTGGACTTTTAGGGCGTCAGGACGATGAAAATCAGAGAGTTATAGAAGATGTTAAGACGTTCCTAGTTGGGAAAGCACACCCCAACATCCACGTGTGGGAAACTTTGCCGGAAATCGCAAGCCCTCGATAGCATTCGCCCGCTCGAGTTCAATCCTCGAGTCTTAGCCATCATACAATCTTATGTTCCTCGGCGCTCGCTCACGCTCAAGTGACGTAGGCAGCGCGCTCAAACGTGCGGCACAAGCCTAATGTGACAGCATTCTCCCTTCTTCCAAATCTGGACTGCCCCAGACACTCATCTCAATCCCACCCATTACTCGTCGCGGCCCTTAAAAGATGATCAAAGAAGTCGGGTCATGTCCAACGCCCGCTTCAATCAAGCTCCTGGACAGCACAACTCCACAACCCTAAACCCTAAACTCTAAACCCTAGCCCTGAAATCATGAATCCAAATTGCCCTCAGTTTTCACACATACATCGCATGTTGCCAACCTCCAAGTGCACGAAAATCTAATTCTCACCGCCCGTTCGAACACAACATGATGCACCTCACGCCATGACTGAACACAAGCATCGACGACACAGAATCACCATCGCCTCTCGTAACCTCACTCCACGAACAACACAATTGCGAAACGCCAACAATTTTAGACCTAAACAAAAGCCCCCTACATCTTCACCCATAAGTTAAATACAATTCCACAATCGAGCATCACATCGAACCAAACCCACTGCCTTGGTCCCACTCAATTGCACAGATTTGGATCAGAACTTAAGCCCCAATATCTCATTGTCCCATATCTCCTGGAAGCCTTGAAGGTCCATCGAAACTATTTGAAGTACGCACAAACCCATCACCGGTCAAAAAGGGTCGGTTGGTTATATATACCACGCAGGTCTTCGGACCTGAGCTGTATGGACTATCAAGACATATGGCCGACAAAATTTTTGTGACCTTATAGGGTTGGCACGCTTTGCCGACCCTTCCTAACACACCGAAACCGAAATACACGCAAATAAAAGCGCAAGATGACTGCAGTTAAACTAAAAGCAACACGCTGATCTCTGGTACATGGCACAGGGAGAGTATTCTGGTAGATTTTACTTTTCAGTGACCTCGAACTGGGTATTGTAAACATAAGTGATCGGAAACACCCACCAAACCCCTCAAGTTTATCATTTTCTGCCATACAGGGTGCGTTATTGTGCTCTTGTGTGATCAAACACACCCTTTCGCTGCTCACGCTGATTCACGGTATTTCTTTGAGTGACTTTTGTGATAATACGATCATTCTTGTTCGAAATGGTTGGCACAATACTTCAGGATTGACAACAATTCTTCCGTTGACAAGAATGGCAACACCCCAATCCAAGGAAGAATGTTATTCCCCACTTCACCCCATGTACGAGTTGTTTACCTTCGACAAAGCATCACTAGGGTGGCAATGGAATTTTAGCCAGGTCATCGAATGCGGTTTCTCATGTTTCGTCCACTTTGGCTTCATGCATGAGATCCCCGCGGCCAGCAACAGCAACAGCAACAACACCTCCACAACTGGCGGCACCATTCCACCACCTTCTGGGGCAAGGCCACATTTCGCATCCAATTGTAAAAGATACCGAAGACGACGCCGTCGACTCAACATTTCTCCAAGACTTCGAAGACAGACTCGGGACAAGGGAGCTCCATTACAATAGACTCATGGTGGAGGTGAAATGGTTAACATGTTGAACTCCATTCTGAAGTTTCATGTTCAGAGCTTTCCGAGGCAAACCAGCACAAGCAAGCCACAGGACCTGACATGACATGACATGGAATTGGGTTCAAAAGATGTTGTGTAAAATCACCCCACATTGTATCGAAACAAAAGGGCCTAGATCAACTAGATCTTTGTCAATGAGCGCAAACTCATCGCCGTCACTGACTTGTCCCATCGCTGAAGAGACCGCGATTAGAGACGGAGTCTGGCAGTTTGCACAAGACTGCTTTTTATACCGTCACAAGATTTGCCTGTATATAGTCCAACCATTGGGGTTTGGGTTCTGGAGTTGCTGTGTTGATATGAGTGGTGTGGGTGAAGATTTTTTCATTTTATGCGTAATAGTTGCATAGATAGAACGGCATTCATGAGATTTAGTGTCATTTTCCATAGTCTTCTGAAGAATTTGTTGAACTTTTACTTTTGTTTGTAGACAGTATTTTTGAAAATATATATACATATATATATATATATATATACACATGGATCCATTTGCACTATTTTTATATCTAAATTTTCTTTAAATCATGCAGAGTAATGGCAGTTGAAATTTCATATTTATAAAATCTAACTAATGTATTTTCAAAACTAATATATGTCCTTTATTTAGTAGTATGTTCAACACAAATAGAAGAGTTTTGATGTATTTCAAAGTAGGAGTGTTTTTAATTGATAATTCATACTAAATGCATTTTCAAGAATTAAAAAATAATAAAATAATAATAATAACCCTATTTCATATGCTATTATAGACCAACATCAGTATTTCATAATTTATTTTACTAGGCTTTAATTTTGCAGTTTAAGCCTTTTATGAATTATTTAGTCATAATTATAATGTGCAAAAAAAATTAAAAAATCAATGCCCACAAATTTCTATGTATTAGATTCAATATTTAAAGGATGTGAATATTTTAATACAAATACTACATTTGGAATGTTAAATACATAATATGATAAAATTTAAATCCATTATGTGTGTGCTCATAGTGATAACAATGCAGTTTGATTTCAAAACTTTAGTTTCACATATTGTTTAATGATTGTGACTTATGTTGATTATATAGGTAGAGAGAAAGTTTTATGATAAAAATTAATGAATTAAAAAACTAAACTTAACTTGGTTGTTATTTTTCAAAACTGATTTTTTTAGTATTTCTAAAATACTGATTACTATTGATTTTTTCTTTTATTGTCCTCATTTAATACTTGAATGAGCTTGATGGGTCTGTACATTTTCATTCATTGAAAACACGTAATTTGATTACAATTATAATACAAAATAAATTTTCTTGTATTTCCAACATTTGAAAAAATGATAAAATAATAAAATAAACAAATGAAATAAAATAAATCACACAATTAGCATCATAATTGGTTAAAAAAATACATAACTAGATAAATCACAGTGCCAAATCATTACATATTTGTATTCAAGTGTGTTATATTCTTTATCAAGCCAATAAAAATTTCATATTTATACATGCTACGTGAATATATTTAACAGCATTAAGAATACAGATATTTGTGTGTGTATATATATATATATATATATATATATTCCTTTGGGTGCAAGGAGAAATATTAATTAGAAAAGAAAGTTTTATTCAAGATAATAAATTAAAATCAAAAGTAAATTATACAACCACAAAGCAGAATTTAAACTTCAAAACCTTTGGCATTAATGCACTATGGATCTCGAGATTGATCTGAAGGAATAATATTCAAAATGAATAATGTGATTTAATTTCATTTAGATGCCATAATTGAAAATTTTGAAATAAAGTGTTCCATAATCAAATACACATCATATTTACTAGTGAGAACAAACATTTGAAATGTTTGGCTATTTGTTTTCAAATATTTGTGGAACAATAACAAATTTGTAGGTACATGATGATAAGTTTTTTAGAATTTAGGATTTAAGTGGAGATATTGAGAAACATAAGTAAATAAATTTAATTTTAGTTTCTTTTGAAGCAAAAAAATAATTATTTCTTTGAAAATAACTCTTACAATTTTTTTTACTACCTTAACTCAAAAAAAATCCCTTTTAATTCACAACAATTATATAATTTCATATTTATATGAAATGTAGATATGTATGTATGAATTTATCTATACACATGCATGTTTTATTTCGACAAATACAGAAATACAAATCTTCAAAATTATATTAATACATTTTGAAATCCTACAATAAACAATGACAGCCCAATTTGTTTTAGACATTGTTAATTCATTGTAATAACTATCTATTCCGAGCTTATAAAATTACAATCACAAAATATGTATATATATATATATATATATATATATATACACATATATGAGTGTGTGTGTGTGTGTGAAGAAAAACCAAGCTTTTATAATTAAATCTGCACTTGGAGCAGAACCACTACTATTGTTCAGAATGCATTACATTCATCGTGTTAAGATGGAATATTTTCATGACATTTCAAAGTTTTTTTTGTGGAATTTTTGAGTTGAGATCACACTGCTCAGTGTTCCAAAATTTAGGGGAAAACAGTGTTTCATATTCACTCCTGCAATCATGTGAAAGAATAGAATAAATAAGAAAGAATTCAACCTTGTTTGTTAACAGTCTTCTGCAATACTCTACCTAACTGCCAAATCCAAAATATAAACATTTATTTATTTGTTTATTCAAACTGTTATGGTGTGAGGCTAATACAAAGCAAGCAAACCATGAAAACATGCGAATCTGCAGACATTCCCTCCAGTTCTTGCGAATTTAACCCACAAACTCACCCTAATTCAAGTAAGATTCTCCACTGACAACCTCATTCACACCACTGCCAAGACCATAGCCGCGAGGAATAGCAACAAAGCTCCCAGATATGAGAGCAGGAACAGCAAAAAAAAAAAAAAACAAACAAACAAACAAAAAACAAACAAAAAAAAAAAAACAAAACAAAACAAAACAAAAACAAAAGATGCATGGGAATGGTTCAATTGAGCCCATACCTGCGGCGAAGAAAAAGACGAGCCAGAACCGCCACATCCAACGGGGAATCGCTCACGCCAGGGATTCCAAAGCCAAGCTGGCACCCAATGGCTGGAAAGAAGTAGGGCGGAATTCACAGGGACTCACCGAATCTAGATAATCATGATCAGGAATTATCTTCGGCAGCCCCACAGTGATTCCCTGTTTGACTTCCACTATAAATATATTACTCTATCGTCGAGATAAGAACAAAGCTTCCCGTCTCACAAGGCTGAGCTTCGGGATCTTTTTCAGCCTTTTCGGTCAAGGCACGGCTGGTGTGGGGTCCATCCCCTCTCCGTGACCGTGGACCAGCGGTATCTGTGCGAGGGTGAGCGAGAGAGAGATAGAGTTTGACCGGGCCCTGCTGCTGCAACGATGCGCCTTGCTTCGTCGGACAGATGAGCTTTGGAGTTCATTACCACGACTGCGACTAGAACTGGGACTGGGACACCCAGTTTTGGACCGTAAAGTGTAGAAGGTTCCAACCAGGATGGGTAGGAAAGTGTTTCTCTCGAGGAGTGGACTATGTTGTCGAAGACTGAAAACCCACAGGCAGACCTTAATGGGGATCAGTTAATATACATCTACCACCAGTTGCTGCAACATGAATGCGGTATCCACCTTTGCTGATATCACCATCATGGTTGTAAATAAACACTGATGGATTGTGTCCTTCCAATGACGTCATTTGTCGACCAATCGTGGATTAACCAACCTAACAAAAGGGAAAAACCTCACAACGATGGCACATGTCATGGTCAGTCATTGAACCTCAGGTCCCATTCGTTAAAATTCCCTGGACACTGTTCAGTGAGAAGCTGGTCTGCATTCTGGAAGAAAAAAGAACGACCATGCGTTGTTGTACTTGGGGGGGGGGTGGTTATCAAGTGGTAATAAACCTCGTTTTTCTTACGTTTGCATAGAAATGGGGATAGAAAGCCCCTGACAGTGCAAAGACACTGAAGTTGATTCTAGAAGAATGTGCAGGTGGGGAGTCTGTCGGGGCATTCTTTTGGATTCGACACTTTTAATTACGAAGCTTCCTCCATGACCGCAACTCACAACAGTATTCCGATTATTGTTTCGGTTTTCATTTTCATTTTCTTTTGCTCCCTTTTTTTTCCTTTTATCATTCTACTGGGTGAATTGCACCTTCGAAGGAGCTTCTCGATGGAGGGAGGGAATCCGCAGTCGTGTGGCCAGCTGGAAGAAGCTTCAACGAGGATGGTGACCCTGACACGAGTCCCGCCTTAAGGACATCGCCGGTCCTACCGAGCTGCGTAGACATGGCGCGTGTGGACGTCGAGACTCCTTCCTGGCACGTCCTCATCTAGGGCAATACAGACACACAGCTCCCGCATCCAAGGTTCCATATAGAACATCCCTGGTCAACAGTTTTGTATTTCCAGTCAATCCCATACTGTTATTACTATTCTCCTTTTTTAAATACTCCTTGGCAAACCGATCACATGGCATGCTTGTGTGCAACACCAACCCAGCCACTGAGCAGGATCCACCTGGGCGAAGGTGGAGCTGACGCAGAGATGTCTGCTATTCTAGTGCTTGCGCCAAACCCTAAGGAGAAGGGCTCGTCATCTGTAATTCCAGATGAACAACTTCGACATGGCAATGTCCACAAACAGCACATCCAAACACTTCACATGCTATTCTGTGGACTAGTTCCAGTTATGTACAAAGTTGAAAGAGTTGGCTTCGGTGGGTGTCGCAGCAAGAGTTCTGCATCGAACTAGATCTACACATGACGGAAGTACCACTACCTCCTCCTCTTTCTGACAGTGAGATGCACCCAGATAGTGCACATGTGGCGTGAAGCCAAAAGAAGCTTCGTCTCACCCAAACTTCGATTGGAATAGAGTCCCTCTTTTTGTGTGTCATTTCAGTGCATATTCTCTTCCACTGCTTTGCTACTGAGATGCTTCCCATAAGTGTGTTGTTTTGTTTTCATACATGAACACCATAGAGTGTGAGTATCATACCGATCAATGAATGCCATCGTCTTATCTCTTATATTTAAAACTCCTAATATTAGCCACAATCAGACCTGGCAGTGTGCTGCCTGTTTTAATTTTTTAAATCAAGTTTGCTGAAGAAAAACACAGAGTTCAAGGTCGTTACTTCTACAATGATAATTATGATAATGATAAAAGATTGAACAAGAGGGTTACATACTGCTACTGATCATGTTGCAATTGGGACACCTTTACTCAGTCGGCACCTTTCCAGGTGGCAGCTGCAGTTCATGCAGAAGTGCATGAATATACTAATTGTTGAATTTGCTATGTACAGTGAGGAACACCCATCAACTTTTTTGTTCATATACATGTACATACATGCATGATATTGCACTCTGCAATGCATATTGTGGAATATTGCTAATGTACATTGCAATAGTTAAAATGCACATTCTTTATGGATGTGTGTTGTAGTGTTCAATGAAATGTAATACAATGTGCATAACAAGTTCAAGCTTGTGGTGACATTAGCAGTAATATATGTATGTATATATATATATATACACACACAATTTTCTTACTTACAAGCTTTTCAAATTTGCTAGACCTAAAAAAAACTTCACAATTTAGTTGTCATGTGGATGTATGACAATCTTCAGTTGAACAGCCAATCTTAGTACAAACTCATCAAACATGAACTTTTGTGTGCATATGTATATTTCCACAATTTAGAAGAAAACAAATAGTTGTAGTATGATAATGATGTTCAAGAAATACATATATGTTTTTTATAGAACTTGTTGTTGATCAATTTCTATGATTACCTACAACTTGAACTAATGTTAGATTTGTGACTCTAAAGTTTTTATTTTTATTTTTTATAAAGTAACTTAATTGCTTTGATACCATACATAATATTTTTTTAAGTATGAAATACTACTTTATTTTTTAGAAATTAGAAACCAAATTACATACTTATCTCTATATTTAATGAAGATAAATATATTATACTATATTTACATAATTTTTTTAAGAAATAAAAAAAAGAAAAATTCAAAACACGCATCTTTAATATCAACCTTTCAACAACACAACAGAAAAACCTACAATCTGTAGACTATTATTTCTATATTTCAAATTATAATATAAAAAGAATGTGACTATTAATAAAAAAATACATATATTTTTGCATTTTACATAACTGCTTTAATGTATTCAATATATATATATATATATATATATATATATATACACATTTATTATTTTAAAACACCATATAATATTTGAAATTATGCTTATAGTATATTGATAATTTTATAAACTGAAAGTGGAATATTTGAATCATGTGGTAATTGATGATGACATGAAATAAAGTGCATAAGCTTGCAAATAGTGTAGTCAAATATCAATGTAATTTAACAATAGGTCCAAAAAAAGTTCTTACATGTGATGCTTAAAATATGAAAAAAAAAAAAAACAAAACAAAACAAAACAAAAAAAATAACAAAAAAACAAAACAAAACAAAAAAAATCAAAATAATTGGTGAAGATGGATGAACCACCTACTTTTACTTCTAGAATAAATTGATTGTGCATATACATATAGCCTACATATTTTAGTAAAAATAATTAGGGATTTTTACTGAAGTATAAAAATTTCTCAATACAAATAAATATAAATAATTTTATTATAGTAAAAATATAATTGACCAATTTCTTGTAGAATATAAAAAACAATATAAAAAGAATAATTAAAAATTAATATTTTATATATTTCAAGTTTTTATTTTTTATTTTTTATAATCAATTGAGACTTATAAAATTGATTGAGATATGGAAGCTAAACCAAATTTACTTAGCTATTTTTCATCCAATCAGTTGTTTATATGCAAAACTTTAAAATAGCCAAAAATAAATCCATATAAACAAAAAAATAAGATATATATATATATATATACACACACACACACACACACATATATATATATACATATAGACAATATTAAAGATTTTTTCTTTTAAAGTATAATTAAAAAAATATGAGTCAGTTTTTTTAGTGGATTAATTACTGTTTATATCTATCTATCTATCTATCTATATATATATATATATATATATACATAGTGTAAAAAGAGTTAAGATCTAAGCTTAAGGTTTTTTGTTTTTTATTTTTTTCTACTTCAAAACACATACTAGTGTATTGATAAAATTATACATTTCCATTAAAAGCAAAGGTATATTTGATGGCCATTGTTTTGCTACATATATGTTCTATGAATGAAAGCTGCTACACTAGAAGAGATGAACATGGTTACAAAACAAAAAGTTTAGAAGAATAAGAATTAGTTGATTGTGTTAAAGTTCTAATGTTTTGCATGTGATTAGAAGTAAAATTAAAAAAAAAAATTGTCCTAAGTATAAAATTAACAAGTGGGTTTAATCTTCAGGTTGGTGTTAAGCGATTGTTGATTAGAATTGAGTAACAAGCATAGTTTTTCTCACAATTAGTATATTAAAATATAAAATTAGATCTTTTTCAATATATTTTTATTTTTTGGAACATTTATAGCAACAATGATTGAAAAATAGTAAATATGTGGATTCACATTATCTCGTTGAGCTGCAAATATCGTGGTTACGGGTCTCCGTCTCTAGAACAAGGGGGGGGGTCATGGGCCAAGGACAAGAGATGGGCACCGGAGACCACGGGAGCGGGGACAGGTTAGGCACGGTAAACCCCGGTTGACGCGGCGGTCGTAAACCACGGGAGTGGGTGACGCCAATTACCACAGCACCCAGAAAGCGTGGGGGAATACAAAACCGCGTGCGTTTTCGCCACGGATGAACGTGGCGTGACCAGTCAACGAGAATAATCATCCAAACGTCATCGACATTTATTCATCCATCCACGCTGAAGTTCGTCTCGTTTGCTGCTGTCGGAACGCCGCGCTTGTTAGCCGCTTATTTTCACCCAAGGTGAGATTTTTGTACCCACCCGAAGCGAGTAAAGAAATTGGGGAGGGGGGAAAAGGGTTTCGAGCCTGACCCACATCTTCGAACTGGTTGATTTCCCCGGCAGCGAACGAACTGGGCCGGTGTTTGGCAGTGTGGAGGCGTCGCTTTGGTGTTGCACCTGACGCGTGCGAGCGAGGGAGGAAGGGACGTCGAAACTTCGAGCGACCTTTCGAGGAAGCTTCGTGAGTGAGGGATCTTGTTCTATTCGGGGGAATGCCCAAGTGAGTTGGAGGTTAACAAAGGGTCCATGGAGGTGTAGGTTTGGAGGATAGTGGGTGGAAGGCGTTGGCGGATATCGGCACAGCTTTGGGTTGTGGTGTTTATTAGAGATCACTGTGGGGCTCCAGTTGAAGGTGTTGTCAAGTTCTGACAGTGACTTACTTAAGCTAGTTTATACTGGATCGCGTTGTAGTTTTTTCCAACGAAAGACCGCAAACAATTTCGCAGTGGTTGGGTTGGAGACTGATTGTCGGGAGTTACACTGCGGAGCAGGAACGTTGAAGGAAGGTTCAGGTTTGTTCAGGGTTAGGAGGTTGGTGTGTGTGTGTGTTGAGGAGAGGGGACCAACATTCGACAAGGGAGAGCGGAGTTGTCGTTGAATAGAGCGTTTGGCGGATACTAGTCAGTCCGTGTGGTTAAACACTTGATTAAAAGCATCAACGATTTCGGCCAGCCCCGCTTACCGTGTTCGGTTCTCCATCTCGATTCTCTCTTTCGTGATCGACTTGTGTCTGTGAACCGTCTTCATTGAACCAATCAAACTGGAAATTTCGACGAGCGGAGGTTTTGTGATCTTAAATTACGTCCGTTATAGCCGTCGAACTTGCGGTGGCGAGGTCTGTAGCTTGGTGAGAGCTTCCACTGCCTGCCATCCTGGGAATGCTGTGATTGTGAATTCCAATCCACATTCGTGCTACATTGGTCAAGAAGAGAAGTGCGCGAGAAGTAGCGTTGGAAGTAACTTTGAAAGGCATCGACGATTCCGGCACGTCCTATCGTCAATCTGGCTTACCCTGCTGTTAGCTCAACGACACGGATGACTATGACGAGAGAGAAACGGCCGCTTGATAGAGATGCCTTTACAGAAGGCATGCCTGATGAGAAACGCCCTCGGCTTGCGAGGTTCGTCTTCGTCTGAACGCCGTTTGCGCATTTCCCATTTTGTTCAAATCTACGCTCAAGACTGTTGTGTGAGAAGGGTTATATTCTTTTTTTCGTAATCATCTTGAGCATTCGCATTATCCATATATTTTGGGACTTCTAATAGGTTGACAATGTTCTCTTGAAAACTAGTTGGGTTAGTCGCCAGTTTAAGATACTTGCTTTGAAATTGATGGTGATTGTAAATAAAGTACTAATAAAATGGCGCTAACGCAGTCGTTTGTTCAATCTTATGGAGTTTTGTGGTTTTCCTTCTCACTTTACGATGGGTGTGATTTTGAGATTTTTCCCTCACACTTTTTTTTTTGTTGTTGTTCAGTGTTATAGTGGAGGCAGTGAAAATGGACAGTTTACAGAAACTGTGCTCAACTTTGGAGCCCCTACTTCGGCGAGTGGTAAGAATCTTTTCATTTTAATTTCAAAGGTAGATGGTGGGCATTGTGCATTTTTTCTAAGCAGTTTCTCACAAGCCTACGTTTAGCAAAACACATAGACTGCGCTGCAAATTACTTCTTTAACTTCGGAGCCTAGTAAATAATCGTAAGTTGGAGTAGCCCGTTCTGGCACGCTTGAAGCAATCAATTGCATTCTGGATTCTATCATTGCGGTTGAAAAGAGTTTAATGTAGGGATTTGTGGATTTCATTGGTCTGAATGAAGAACTGTAAACTAAAATGCAGCCAGGATGGAATATACGTAGTTTCATGTCTTTTATGCGGTTTCATTCTGAACAACTGCTCGGATGTACAAAATAATGCAGGTTGGAGAGGAAGTTGAGCGTGCACTTTCAAAGTTCGTCGCTCCTAAAGTGGGAATTCGGTATGCTACTTGTGACTGTATCGAAACTTCATGCAGCATGTGTTTATTTTCAGTAGAATTACTTTTGTATTGGTTGGCAATTAGCAAGTACGTTTACACTGTTTGAGAAAGTTGAGTTTTACCTCTACATGGTGAAGATCTTAAAAAACAACGCAATTTGAAATGACTCCTGCTTCCGATTCTTAAATTCGAATTTGATGTTTTCAGGTCGTCACCGAAAAGGATACAAGGTCCAGACCAACAAAATTTGCGCTTACAATTTAGGAACAAGTTAGCTCTTCCTCTCTTTACCGGAAGTAAAGTCGAGGGGGAGCAAGGTTCTGCGATACATGTGGTCTTACAGCATGCCGGCACTGGCCAAGTTGTTACCACTGGTCCTGAAGCCTCAGCCAAACTGGACATCGTAGTTTTAGAGGGTGATTTCACAGCTGAGGATGAGGATGATTGGACTCAGGAAGAGTTTGAAAACTGTGAGGTTAGGGAGCGAGATGGGAAAAGGCCTCTTCTCACTGGAGATCTTAGCGTGTCTCTAAAGGATGGAGTGGGGACTTTGGGAGAGCTAACGTTTACGGATAACTCTAGTTGGATTCGAAGTCGCAAGTTTCGATTGGGCGTGAAAATTTCATCCGGTTATTGTGAGGGTCTGCGAATTCGAGAAGCTAAGACCGAGGCCTTCACTGTGAAGGATCATCGAGGAGAACGTAAGATTATCGCTTCACATATATTGTTTGGAGTATTAAGTTTAATTTGCGGTTTACTGCATATTGACTTGCATGTCCTCGCCCAGCCCAACTGTAGTGTTGTTGGTTTTCTGATGATGGGAGTCTCGAGCCAACATGGATATACTCTACATGCCCTGTGCACATCCATTCGTTCTGTGCTGAATGCCGTGATTAACAGAAGAAAAATCATATCTCTATATCTAATAATTGTTGTTGGTCACCTTGTACAGTCTACAAGAAGCACTATCCGCCTGCTTTAAATGACGAGGTTTGGCGATTGGACAAGATTGGAAAAGACGGTGCTTTCCACAAACGTCTAAATCAAGCAAGTATCTTGACTGTTGAAGACTTTCTGCGCTTGGTGGTCATGGACCCTCAAAGGCTGCGTAACGTAAGTATCACACGTGATTCTCGTAATGTAGTAATGTGCGTGTTTTTGACATTGGAACCGGGAGCTCCTTTTCACTCTATTTTCTAGCCTAACTAGTTGAAAAAATTAATGAACACTATTTTTTACAAACATTCAGTGTTGTAATTATGATACCTACGCCCTGAAAATATATGACTTTAGAGGCCTTTGATTTGTCCAGATATTGGGAAATGGTATGTCGAACAAAATGTGGGAGGGCACCGTGGAGCATGCAAAAACTTGCGTTTTGAGTGGAAAATTGCATGTGTACTACGCGGACGACAAACAGAATATTGGCGTTATATTCAATAATATTTTTCAGCTCATGGGGCTCATTGCTGATGGGTCATATATGTCCGTGGATTCCCTCTCTGATAGCGAGAAGGTAGGAAACGAGTCTTCTCCTTCGTCTTTTAAGTAACGTGGGGTTAGGAGGTTGTGCCTTCCATTTCCTAATTGTGATTTCTGGTACATGTGTTTAATGTTTATTAATTCTCAAATCTCATTGATTCCACTCCGCACAACTGTACTTCGTTGTCTAAATTGCTTGTCTTATTTGGTGCGTAGGTGTATGTGGACAAACTGGTAAAAGTAGCATATGAAAACTGGGAGAATGTGGTAGAGTACGATGGCGAGGCCCTAATTGGTGTAAAGACGTATCAAGCCAAAGGTTTCGATACTCGAATTGAGGACCCTCTTGGTGGCCGTAACATATCCAATATGCACCCGCAAGGTCCGAGTCTGAACCATCAGCAAGCATACAGACATACAAATTATTTTTAGAGGATGTCATTGCATGAGTTTACTTTCCCAGAATTTGAATGGTGGGGGAGTAAAGAGCGGCTTTGAGTTCCAGCTCCTGAGGGCTAGCACGAAGTGGTGTCTGTCCTGGGAGCACGCCTTGCAGGGGTTCCTGTTGAGAGCTTTCAGGTATAGCCTGGCAAATGTAAATACATATCTAGTTGCCAGGATATTGCAGTATTCTCTATTTTAGAGGCCACCTCGTGTATCATAGAATTTTTCTCTGTGCATGTGCTGGACCATTGACTTCAGCACTTGCAGCAATTGTTTTACAATCAATAGAAGAGTCAGTATTCTGGGCAAGCAATGAGAAGTGATGTGGTCAGTAGCTCTCGTCGATTTGCAAGTCTTGCGTTATTGCAGTCAACTTTGATTTGAAGATTTCATTGATTCTGATCTCATGTTCTTGTGTAGTGTAGATCCTGGTCACTTTATAGTCGAAATCAAGGGTCCATAAGACACCAAGGGTGATGTGTGTTCGGACCGTTTCTTTACTGCAGTTAGTGCACATTTCAGAGTGTCTCAGATGGTCTCTGAAATGGTTCTCTAGGTCACGCTTAGCTCGAACGTGTGTGTATCTTAACCTGGTCGTTCTTTAGCTGATTCGTTACATGCCTTTATAACCATGCAGGTAGTGCGGGTAATGGAGGACCAGGGTCTCTTTCGTATGGACAGGAACAACGAAGAATGACTTCACGATCTTTTGCTGGTCTCAGTCAGATGCCTGACAACCACAGCATCTCGGGGCCCGTTCTGCAGATGAACAGCAGCATTGACAACCACCATCAAACCGTCGCCGGATCTTCTCCTAATAACTTGCTTATGGGAGGAGGGCATACCGGACTAACTGGACTAGCACTAGGTCCTCCACAGAGTAGCGTGACTGCCTCGAGGTCTGACATGACTGGCTTAGCCCCTCCCGCGTCCATGATGAATGTTCCATCCGGTGCTAACGATTGGCAGCAGCTTGGTCGACGGGATTTTAAGCGACAGGAGAGTTTTGGACTGAGATTCCCAGGTAACGGCAATTCGTTTGGTGAGGACATCACCGAGGATGAGCTTCGCGCGCGAAGCATGGAGCTTCTAGAGAACGAGGATATGCACACACAGATACAGCAGCTGCTGCGCATGTTTAATGGACAGGTAGGGGACATTCCGCTCAGTCCATATGGCCCTGTTCCAGAGGATGATGCTTTTCCATTTGTTGGGTTACCTGGGGATGAGGATGTGGGTGGGTTCAAACCCCCCCGAGCCAATGGCAAGGCCTACGTGGGATGGTTGAAGCTGAAAGCCGCTTTGCACTGGGGCATTTTCATCCGGAAACGGGCAGCTGCAAGGAGGGCTCAGCTGGACGAGGTTGATGAGGAGTCATGACATTGTTCAGATTTAAGTATTTAGTAGGATTCATTCTTTCAAGGCGTGAGGTTCCTTTTTGTCATCATCAGCTTGTCTTGCTTCTGATCACTTCTTCCATCGTTATTTTGGAGCCTTTTTAGCCGCTTCCAATGGATCGTCTGTGTAAGTCTTCTGGAAATGATGCACTTCTCGAGGATAGCAGACCGCTTGCAGACATTACCGAGAGCTATGCTCTGTATATTAGTGCAGTACTACACTTGAATTGTATCTATCTCCGCGTTTGCGAAGATATTGCTTAAATTCAGGGTAGTCGGATATAGTTTAGTGATGCAGGAGGGTTTACGTACTTGGTAGTTCAGTTTAGTATATTGAAGATTTTTATTTTTTTATTTTTTTATTTTTTGTGATTTTTGCCGCTTGTGTGGCTGCCTATGTTTGATATAGATGACTAGCAGCGATATCTACTGCTGATGATCTCCAGATGTAGTTTTGTAGATAAAAGGATTCTTCTTCTTCTTGTGGGAGTTTTTTCTTTTTCTTTTTCTTTTGCTGTAACGTCGCATTTTTCCTCCCTTCGTGTTGGATTAGGTCTCAGCAAAGAACGGAAGGCCAGGTTGAAGACTGGATGTTCACTATGCTTCTCACTGAACAATTTAGCTTCGAACTTGTGGTTGTCGATTGCTCACTAATATGTAGGCCATGCTTCCACAATAGGGTTAGGAAGCGAATTAATTTCGTAGTCTTTACTTTTTTTCTTACACTGTAATGTACAATTTCACTAGTCTAATATTAATGCTATTTTACCAGGGAAGACTGAATATCAGGTCTTCTTATTTTATCAGTTCTCTGTAATATCAATGCTGCCAGTGCTAGGCTTGTAGGACGTCATAGTTCACTGGGAAGTTCATTGCCTCTTTGAGAATTCTGGTCTGAGCCAAGTCATCTCCTTAACTATTTGCTGTAGATTTGCAGTACAAGTGTGTTAAACTTAGAACGGGTTCTTTTAACAATTGATGAGCTCAATCACTCTTGGGTGGTTTAGCTCAACAAAGGCTGCTTGTTTGTAGTGCCAACCATTTGAAGCTTAGCTTTGGTCTGTAACGATTGTACACTGTCTGTTCTGTCACAACAGCCGATGCACGACGTATGGCTCCTTTTAGACGAAACGCTACGTTTATGCTTCTGGATTAGGTGAAGGAACATCAGGTGATATTGTGACACACACATTTAGAAATAATGTATGCTAATTGAAATGGGCTCCTCACAGAAGCAGTATTCCAATGTTTTTGTGGTTGTATGTTGCAGAGCAATTCCTATCCTCCCGGTGCAGAGTCTTACGCACTTGGGTTGAGGCCAAGTTTGGCTCCTGCACCCACTTGAAAGGGCGGATTTCACAAGACTTGGGAATCACATCTAAAGCTCACCGTTTCGAAGACCTGAAAAGGCACAGTGAAAACCTAGTTCACACAAGTAGGAAGTCTACTTGAACACAAGATTGAATACACACAATTCATTTTTCTCACCCTTTAGCTGTAGTCTCTACCTGCGGGTAGTTGGGAGCCACGAAGGGATGATGCAAGCACTAGTAGAGGGCTCAATGATAGTTGGCATTTATTTGAAGCTCTTCATGATATATGTGCAAATCATGAAAATGCTCTCATTATATCAGAAAAGAGATTGTAACATTGTTTATTCTTTGTCTATTCTTTTGGAATTGTTCAGCTTCTGTTTTTCTAAGCTAGAAACTAAAGCAATAGAAACCCAGTTATTGAAACCTCCAACCTTGCAACTCCATCTGTTGATGTTTTAGTCCCTTTTTAGCATGCATATTAAAGGAAAGCTCTAAAAACTCATGATGATGATGATGATGATGATGTTGATGATGGTTCTGCAAAGTTCTTCACAATGAAACTGGAAATGGACCTCATGGCAAGATGCACTATTTACATATACAAAATAATCACCATTTCACTTTCCCAGAAAGCCAATGACAAGGTCTCTGGTGATGAACCACAACATGTGTCAGTGTACACTTTGCAGGCAGTTAGTATAGTTTTTTTTATGTATATATATACATTAATAAAAATATATTCAAAGAGGAAAAAGTCAAATGAGCACTAGCCATGAATACAACAAGGAATTGCCCCGTGATTGACGCCCCTTCTGATAGGGTTGCTTCAGTTATGGAAAAGGGGGCTTGGGCCATCATGTAAGTGGAGCTGAATGTGGTTGGATTTGGTCTGATAACAATGGGCATGCAAAGGAGATGCCTTGAGTTGCAGACCTTTTGAAAAATAGTTGGAGAACTTCAGTTATTTTTTGTGTGTGTTCATATCTCTCTCTCTCTCTCTCTCTCTCTATATATATATATATATTATTAATAATTCCACACAAGGGTTGCTTGTGGTTGACTGTGTGGAGTGGAAGAGAGGGAGGTGTCAAGATGAGCTATACCATGCACTGCACAGCTCACATGAAAACAAAAAAAGCCTTCCCCAACCATTCAGTCCTTGCATCAACTTTGTCTTTTGCCATGAATATGTTCCAAGTCATCATTTAGACTTGTGTAAGATATATATATTTAAGAAGGGAATAAAAATATTTAGACAAAGTTACTTTGTGATTGGTCAAGTATGATTTCATAAAATGTTGATTGGGTGACATGGGTTCTAAGCCAGCATTTAGCATGGTCAATGCAAGCAGTACTCTCAACTTGTGGGTTTTAGATGAGAAGCCATGTTTAGTGGACATAGCTCTCTAGCATTTGAGAGATTCTTCCTCAAAATCTTTTACCATTCAGGAAAGCCAAAAAGGAATTGTGTCATGTGGAAATACATTTGCCCTAGTGGACAAAGTCTCAGTTGATGATGTGGATAATTTTAGGTTGAACAAAACCCGCTTTGCATTAATGCAAATTTGAATGCCATTGCACACAATATATATATATATATATATATATATATACATTCAACTATTGTAATACAATTTATTGGCTTTACAAAAGAGGCACAAACATACCTTGGTGTAGATTGCAGACCAGTCAAGGAGTCAAATTTAGTAAGTTTTTTGTTCTGTGCACATATGTTTGTGTGTATGTATGATAATAGTAATAAGTGTTGTTATCATTCATTCAATAACAAAATGTATGTTCATTTTATTTATAGGAATGAAATTTAGGGTATAAAATAAAATAAATCACATTTATTTTTTATTTAACTTTAAACCATAATTGGTTTTTAAGTAACCAATTACTAATTATCATAATTGTAATCAATTGAACTTTTGCAAATTGGCAATTTTTTCTTTTTATACAACATCCAAAGATGTTGCCACTAATTTTTGTTGTGGTGGAATAGGTACCTAATTTGTATTTGGTAATAAATGAACAAAAATCTAACAGCCTCAAGTACTAGAACATTTTACTAAATCCTAAATTCTTAATCATGTCTAATAGCTCATAAATAATTTTGTGCTTTCTTTTAAAATCCCAAATCCTTCATCTTGCACCCCTTATACCAATATTTTAAGAACTCCCAACATTTGGCTGCTCCTTAGATGTACAAAATCCAGTATTTATGTATAAAGACTTGTATGGATGACAAATAGATGAACTAATTTGCCACCTACTCAACATATTGCTTTAGTTTTTTTAATTCAATTAAAAATAATTCTACTTATATTTCTATTATATTTTCTTGATTTTAAAGAATATAAAAGGTAAATAAAATTTTATTAAAAAAACTAATTGAAAAATTGATAAGAATTAATTGTAGTGGCAATAACAAAACATGATAAATAAACATAAAACTTCACAAAAACAAAGGTCGGGAATTTGTGATGATATCCTGACCATAATCTTTGTCTTCCCATTCTCTCAGCCTTTAAACACTTTTTTCTGTTGATTTCAAAGAGATAACTTGATCCTTATTTCTTTTCTTTTTTTCTTTTTTTCTAATTTTTGAGATATTCCACATTGGAGTTATTTCTTTTCTCACCATTACATTGTAAACTTCTAGTTTTAACTTCTACAACTCCAAAATTAAGGTCCCAATGTGGGTTTTCTTATGTTATTTCGTTTGAAAGATTTTCTGCAGTTGGCTTCTGGCTTGACCCTTTTGCCGAGCAAGTAATTCCCTGGTGTCACATATGATTTAGTTTTTTTAATGTCATCCTTCAAAGATATGGGTTTTGCTTTTTCTTCACTTTTTTTCTGTCCAAAGCATCAGCAATTCCATCCTCCTAAACTTGCTTATTTTTATTACAAAATTGTATCCCCAGGCTACTGCAATCCATTTAGTTTTTGTACAGACTCAACGTTAAGATTGCATCATCTTTCTGGCAATTGCAAGAGTCAAAGATTTTAGGTTTTGATCACCTTCTACTCCTAGTCTCACAATTTCAACTTTGGGTTTTTTCACTTCTGCACTGAAACTAATTTTCTTTGATTATCATGAGATTAAAATTCTATATACATATATCACTTTCGAAAGTAAAAATAAAAATCTTCAACACAACAACAAGGTATCTAGAATTCTTACCTTTCCATTCATTCATAAAGTTTGTTCAGATGTTCCTTCACTGTAAGGCTGTGTACAAATTTAGCATATATATATTATTTAGTTATTCATTTGTTCATTTAAAAAATAGACAAAAAATTGAATCATGGCTTAGAGACATTGCATCAAGTGCACATTTAAATACAAAAATAAAATTTATGCAAAACTACAACCTAAGCAAGTTCAAGTAGTATGGATAAAATAAAGAATCATATCCACCATATCAACTTTTATGTGCATAAAGTAGCAAGCATGTATCTTGAAAATTTTGGAGGTCAAACTTGAACAAATGCTCAAGTGAGCTCTTCCAAATTCATGATAAAAAAAGGCCCACCAACACTCACTCTCACACTTGGCCTCCCCCTAACCAAACTCCTCCCAACCCCTCAAGATTGTTTTCTTTCTTTTGTTGTTCTCATTTCTTTTTTCCTTTAAATATAAATACTTAGGTTATGTCATTTTTTATATAAGTTTTACAATGACAATAACAACAACATGATGGGAATCTAATATCATGGCAATCAAAGGGCCCCCATGCATCCATCCATTACTCCCCCTCCTCCTATACATAGCTTTAATGTTTCCAAAGTTGTTAAGATATTCTTCATCATAAGGGCATTTGTAGTGTAGTACATGATGGGGTAATGAATTCCCTCTATTTACTACTCCACCATGAGAGCCCCTTCCCTTGCTTTTTTCTTCTTCATCTTCCCCATCATTCCATGCCCTATCTTCCACACACTTTGGAGCAGCCAAGCACAACCCCAGTACAGATTTGGCAGACATAAAAATAAATAAATAAATAAATAAATAAATAAAGGAGATAGATAGGTAGAGATGGGATAAATAAATAATAATAAATCAAACCCCTCTCATTCACACCCATCATCCATAAATTCATTCATTCATTCTCCCCCACTTTCGTCTACTTCGTCTTCGTCGTCGTCAAGATCGAATTATTATCCATACATTCCCAATAACGAACTCTCGTTGCTTCCTCGGCTTCAAGGGATGAATAACATGCAGCAGAACACACACACAAACCCACCCACCAACCACATCCACTCATCATTCATTCGTTCGCTCGTTCGTTCGATCCCAGCCTTCATCATCCATTCAACTCCACGAAAGTCCAGGCACCATCAGCGCCTGGAAAATGGAAGAAGAAAGAGGTCACTTAAAGACAGATAGACAACACATGAAGAGCGCCCGGGCCGGGCCGGGCCGGGCTAGACCAGGGGAGGTGGGGGGGGGAGTCCTTTTCTTAGCAAAATCACCCGTAAAG